TGGATTCTGATTGTTCTCTGATTACTGTTCAACAGCTTTGAAGCTAAATAACACATACAGCACTGTGGCTTCATCCTTTGGACGGCCATTTAGCGGAGATGGGGGTCCCTCTCATAGCCGCGCCGGCATAGAGAGGAGAACCGTGCGGCGCGGCTATGCGAGTGGCCACTGTACTTTTGATTATACGAGTTGCAGACCCCTCGACAATTCCTATCCCACCGCACCACCACATTCCGCGGCCATGGATGCCCTAAAGTCGCTCTTTGGCAACGCGGGCATGGTTGTCATGGAAACCCTGCGGAAATAAGAGGCGCCATCTCATCCAAGAATCCAGATGAATCGCAACACGCCCGTGATAACAGAAGCTGCGTGTGAGGGATGGTTTATGGTACGTTTTGTTTTATAGTATAAGTGCCCCCCCCCCCCTTCATCCCCGGTGTGTATTAGGGTAAGTCGTATATCGCTTATTTTCGATTCTTGGGTTGTAACAGTGTTTTCCAGGCGCCATTTCGGATGAAAACTCCTGGAAACATTTTTTAAGTTTTTTCCTTCAACGTTTTCATAACCCTACCTTGCCTGTTATTCTGACCTGCCATAAGAGGTGGTTTTGAAAACTACAATTTTGGGCGTATTTTTTTCTTGACTAAACACGCAATTTTACGGTCCTCTGGGTGAAAATTTGAAGGAGAAGGCTCTATCTCAGCCGGTTTTCGAGCCACGAATTATTATTGGAAGGGAAGAGGTTGCTTATTTACAGCAATATAAAAACAATAATTCATATCATGCAAACCGACAGAGATAGAGCCTACGGGCGATTGCCCGCCAGCCGGGTGGGCCAGTCCGAGCCTCTGTTCTGGGGTCAAATGGGATGTCGCGGATCCAAAACGGTATGGAACGTTTTTATGGCAGTTGTGGTTGAGCCCAAACACTCTTATCAATCTGTCAGTCAGTGATTCAGTGGGAGGGCAGTATGATTGATGATGATTGGTGATTGATTTATTATTCCAAGAAGACCACAATTTGGGATTTATTTACTACACTAGTTTAACTACAAAAATAAATACAACGACCGACATTTTATATTTTTAAGTACATTTTAACATCGAGGTATAAACCCCTTTTTTAATGGTGGTGACACGCCTCTCTTTATAGTAAATGACACACTTATACAATTTTACCAATACTACCAATAGTAGTATAGAGAGTATAAGACACCCTTAGTTCCTCACAAAGAGCAGTGTTCGTATTACGAAGAATTGGGTTTGTAACTTACAAAGGATCTGAAGCAACCATATTACGAACGATTTTCCTTCATATTAGGAACAGCTTCCATTTATGATACGAAAAGCCTCGTTTGTAATACAAAGAATTTGTTTGTAATACGAATGCTCCAAATCCTTTGTACGCCATGAAGAGCAGTTGTTCGTAAAAAAAGCTTACAGTGGACATGCCCAGTGCGCAATGTCTATATCGTAACGATAACGTTTCGAAATCATAGTCGACAGTGTATCGAAATCAGAACGTTAACGACACGAAACTGGTTCTTATTTCGATACATTGTCGACTACAATAATATCGAAACGTTATTGTTACGATATAGTCATAGCTCGCTGCGATAACATCACAAGTGATATACAAAGCATTTACTTTGCAACTTAACTAACTACAAAAACATTTCCCGTCACAACCTTTGCGACTAACGCGCTGGTTGCGATAGGTGATCATTGTGTAGAAACCTTTACAAAGCTGTGAAATGCTTCGCAATCTGGCAAACTAATTTGTTTGTAAGTATTTAACACTGCACTTAAATAGACTGCTTTACTATAATGCAACGAGTGCAGAGGGATGCAAGATCAGCGAGCTGCGAAGGCACAAGGCAGAAGTCGTCAGTGAAAGGCAGTTGTGACCAGCCAGCTGGGTACGTGCTTCTGACCGACCTAGCTGGCTCTGCCCAGTGGTGAGATGAGGATAGGCGAGAACACAAATACAGACAGAATGGGTGATAGGTTGTTGCCGCCTTCACATATGTGTACAGATATAATTTAACAGGACGTGAGCATTGCACACGTATCGTCTGCTTTCTCAATCCATTTATCCTTTCTGTGATATCACTTTATTTCTTTATACTCTTCCTGAAACAGCGGGGAAGAAAAAATATTTGAAAGAGTTCATAACATTTCTTTGGATTGGCTTGTACGCGATTGTTTTCATTAGCTTTACTAAACCCCTATGCATTCTGTTGTGCAAGGTCGAGCAGATTTTTTATCAGCCATCAGTGTGCATACTTATGGCTGTTAAAGAATGCATGTTCATGCACAAAAATTGCAAGCATGCACTTAATAAGTTAAGTTTGTGGCAAGGACCACTTCACTGGTAACTTTTTACCCGTGGCCGGGCAGGCGTGACTAGTCCCCATCTGGCCTGGAGCCGCTGGAGCAACTGCCCCTTTAGAAAATCTACGTAGATTTTATGTTGAGCCTACGTGAAATGCGATGATTTCGTGGATTATCTAAGACAGGTCTACGTAGTCCGTATATTCACGTGGACTCAACGTTGGATCTATAAGGACAGACGTAGTTGTTTCCCATGATCTGCTAGCCATCCTTAGGCGTAGGGCCCACCCTCCGCAGCGGGGGCGACGTACGATGTCCCCGTGGTCAAACTGGAATCACTGCTACTACTGCTACTACTGTGGTGGCGGTGGTTTTGGTGGTGGTCTTCAGCGGAAGCGCTGCTTCCATCGTAGCCAGAGCTGCCGGGCGCCGAGAAACCAGACAGGCCTGACAGACCCGAGATACCGCCGGACAGACTCGAGATTCCGCCAGAAACCGAGTTAATGTCGACTCCCGAAGCAACACCCGTGGCCCCGACAACGCTCGAAGCGGACGAGGCGCCACCGTCCTGCTGTGTCTTGTATTTGATGAAGTAAACTTCGGGTTTAGAGGGCTCGGTGGGCGCGGGTGGCTGCACGCTCACGTCAGCCTGCTCGTCAGGCTTCTTGACCAGCACGTAAATGAGAGTCTTTTCCTCGTCCTGCGGAGGGAGTCGTACGGTAGCCTGTGTGGGTGCGGCTGGGGTAGGCGCCTTGATAAAGACAATCTTGTAGTTCTTGCGGGGAGGTGGCGGCGCCGGCTGGTAGTGACGGATCTGATGGTCATGCTCCTCGGGGGCCACGTGCACGTAGATGTGCTTGCTGATTAGCGGCTCCTGCGAACAGCGTGGCGTGCAACGGTCAGTAAAAACACAGAAGTAGTGAACACATCCCAAGAGGACAAGAGATTTTTCATGACATGAAGTTGAAACGTAAAGTATTGTTGTAATGCATCCTTCTTCACTGTAACTGGTTGGCGTTATTTTGCCGTCCCCTAAAGAACGCCAAATATTTCTTGATCGCTGAATTGGCATCTTTGGACGCCACACAGTGGGCTCAAACCGGGAAAAAGCGGCCAAAAGTCCCATTTTCAAATGTTGAATTGCACGCTTTTCGACAACCAGTTCTTGTTTATAGATGTCTACACGAACTACTACCACCTGGGGAACCTAAGAATTCACTGGCCTTCAAGGTCTTTTGACACTTCAAAAAGTGCTAATTTCGACATGAAACTGAGTGAGACTGCACTTATATTTCTCCGGCCAGTTTTTTTGCTCTCCCTGATCGTGAAACTACAAGTATTGGGTATCAATGGAAAGGTAATGAACTAGAGAACACATTCCTACCGTCGTTTGATTGCTCCGATGATATACCAGTGTCCTGGAGGACACTAAAGGACATAAAGAAATCGCGTTTTCTCGCAACTTTACGAGGCTGCATCTTTTTTCGGCCAAATTCGGCCACGGGGGCATATTCGGTCCCGTGCAGCCCAAGTGCCCTAGAATAAGGGGCAACTGCCCGATCTTGCAGAAAGTTGCAGGTTTTCTTTAAAAATCGATTCTTTTTCGCCTAATTTTTAAGGTTTTACAATGCATTTATAGTTTTACGATCTTACTTTTACCGATATAATTACCTGAGTTCATTCGCACTCGGTACAGGGGGGTTTCAATGCATGCTGATTCTATTTCTTTCATCAAATTTGACGCCGCAGGGGCGGAACTAGTCCCAAAAAGGGGGGGAAAGTTCATTTTTCGTCCGAATTTCTTTAAACTCACTATAGGGGGGTTTCAAAGCATGCTGATTCCATTTCTTTCACCAAATTTGACGCCGCAGTGGCGGAACTAGTCCAAAAAAGGGGTTACCCCTGTACCAAATTTAAGCAGCATCAGACATAAAAAAACAATATTTACCCCCCTTTTGGCCTAGTTCCGCCCCTGCCATGTCAAAATGCACATCAGAAATGAATTCAGCAGCCGTCAAAACCCCCATATACCAAATTTAAGTGGAATCAGACAAAAACTAATATCTACCCCCCTTTTTTGGCCTGGTTCCGCCCCTGCCACGTCAAAACTCATTGCAGAAATAGATTCAGCGCACACGAAAACCCCTTAGAACGAAGGTGGAGTTTATTCAAGTTATTGGTTTCCGCTTATATTAATTTTGGCCGCTTTTTCGTGGTTTGAGCCCACTGTGCGCCATCAACTGGGAGCATTTAGGCGTTTGGGGTCTTTGAAAGGCATTCAGAGCTCCAAAACTTTTGGCGTTAAGAGAGGTCGAATATTTGCAGTGATTAACTTTCTGATTAATGGTTTTTAACAAGTTTAACAAGCCAGCCCATTAAATTCCACCGACCGAAAAAGTTTCCTTCTGTTTCTTTGTATGCATGATAACACGAGAAGGAATTGAGTTAGCGATTTGGGAATATTTGGGTTGTTTCGTATCATAACAAGCTAGGCGCCCCTTCCGCCAAACCAAGTTGCCAGCTTCACTTCACTCCGCGGGCACCTCCGTTCGGGAGGCGCCCGGCCTAACTTGGCCTGCCGGCGGCGTTTGATTGGGCCTGCGGCCTAACCTATAAGTCACTTTGCATTGAGTAAGCTAAAGCTCCCGG